ATATATATATATACTCATATATATATATATATATCGGTGAGTTATTTTTGATAGAATGGCCAATGTCTGTTATATTACACTTTATCACTAATGTCAGCAGATACCGATACCATGCCGATAATATCATGCATCCCTGGTTTGAAGATTATTATTTCCTACTGCAAGAAGCTAAAATTGCCTTTCACACAAACAGAAATATGTAAAATAATAATGATTATCAAGCTTTGGTAAGTTGTACAGAAACAGGATCAGATAAAATAATCTAGCCCTAAAAGTTGTTACATAATTTTTGTGACACATTTCTAAATCTTGATGTGATAAATCTAAATTCCATCGCTGTACAGGAACAACATGTTTTTTCCTTTTCCTGTTTGTATAATGTGGTAAAATGCTTTAAATTTCTTAGATGTCCAATCTTTCAACAAGCAAATAAATGTTTCAAAGGGCATATTCCAAACCAGCACCATTAGATGTGGGGATGATAAGAAACAATGGTGTTTCAGAAATAAAGGAAACCTGTATAGAATAAAGGAAGTGATAAAGTGTTTTAAAGTTAACAAGACCTAATACGAACAGAGTTTCTTGTGTTTTGTACTTGTTTGGTATCATTATTATTCTTAACTGAATTTTCTCACACTTTGCTTTGCTGTCAGGTTCCGTCTTCATGCTTTCAGCTGCAACACTCGACGCTTTTCCTTCTTCGACCTACGTGAAAGACAGACAACAGGAAGCTTTTAGTTTCTGATGCACTCAGAGTGACAAGATCCACAACTTTTGGTTTGGCTTCCTGCGATTACAGCATCATCCTCTCTGCAGAACATGTGGCTCGTGTTGAGGAGCACATACAGTGATCCAGCAAATACAGAGCTCTTTAATTCATAATGAAGAGATCACTCACCTTCTTTTGTTTTTGTTGTTTGAATATACTTTGTTACTTTATACTCCGTTACTTTGTTAGTAGGGAACTGTTTACATATTGCTGTGTGTCACTTTTTTTTTTACTGTTATCTTAAGCTAAATCTCAGACTTCTTCATCCTGAAAGGACTTTTTGAACATTTTTACCTTAAGTTTCAGCTTCTTCTGTCGTTTTAGCCTGGAAAGGATCGACTAACTACAAATTTTGTGCCACAAATCACAATTTAAAACACTTTCATCTTAATTTTACTGCCACACTTGCTACTGTTCGACAAATTTTTTTGGTTATATGCATGATTATTCATTTTGACTTTTTCTTAATTGATCCCACAAAGTGTTTTATGCTGTATGCAAAGCACTTAAAATTAAACAATTACTCTATTTATTACTAGCAGAACAGTGATTAGTTTTCAGCTGCAACCTTTCTCTGTGGAGTTTGCATGTTTTCTCCATACATGCACCTGGTACCCCAGTTTCCTCCCACAGACCACAAACTTTCATGTTAGTTCATTAACAGCTCTAAATTATTATGAGCCACTGAATAGAGCATAAGCTAGAAGTTTAGAACTTGTAAACAATTGTTAATATTTCTGTTGTCTGTGGTGTAATGGTAACTTTTACTGCATGTATATTGGCCATATAATACAGATTAGGACAAATTAAAATGTGTTTAGGTCCTGATGCATGCTCTATATTCCAGGTAGAAAAATCCAACAAGGTTAAATCAGGTCCTCTGGACAGATTCTTTTTGTTGAAATGTTTCGTATTTTATCCAAAATACTTTTTCAGTCTGAGGAGGTGCAACAAACTCTTACAAGCCCCCTCTCATAGTGGATCAATCATTTTGATGGTGACAGCCAAAACATGTTCAGATGCAAAAGAAGGACTATCAGCCTAATGACTGATCATTAGTGCCCTGGTGGCATCTTGCTATTCGCAGAGGCCTGGGTGGAGTCTGTGGTACAAAATACAGTCAATAGCCAGATTTTGGAAACGGGTGTGCTATGGGGTCTCCAGTTTCTCCTATTGTTGCCAACCTGTACATGGAGGAGGTAGAAAAGAGAGCCTTGACGTCCATTTCAGGGACACCACCAAGTCATTGGTTCAGGTATGTTGACGACCTATGGGTTAAAATTAAATCTCAGGAAGTCCAACATTTTACTGACCACATCAACTCTGTGGATAAATACATCAAGTTCACACGAGAAGATATAAAAAATGGCAGACTGGCTTTCTTGGACTGCGAGGTTTCAGTTTCTGATGGAGAACATTTAGAAACTGAGGTGTACTGCAAACCCACCCACACAGACCAGTATTTGCAGTTTGACTCCCATCACCCTTTGGAGCACAAGTTAGGAGTCATCAGGACTCTGTACCACAGAGCAGACAGCGTCCCCACTAACTCAGGAGCCAGGCAGAAGGAGAAATTCCACACAAGACAGGCTCTAGAGCAATGTGGATATCCTAACTGGGCCTTCCTGAAAAAAAGAAACCCTAACAGGACTCCAGTCAGCCATCAGGTGAAAAGGAGGAACCCAGACCAGTGGTCATTCCATATGATGTGGGAGTTTCAGAGAAATTGAGCCGTTTACTTTCTAAACACAACGTCCCAGTGGCTTTTAAACCCCAAAATACATTATGGCAAAGACTGGTTCATCCCAAAGATCCAGTCCCCCGGCACAAACAGAGTAATATTGTGTATGCTGTTCAGTGTCAGGAGGGCTGTGATCAGTCTTACATCGGGGAAACTAAACAGACACTGGCCAAAAGGATGGCCCAGCACTGAAGATCAACATCATCAGGCCAGGACTCTGAGGTCTACACTCATCTGTAGACCAGCGGTCACTCGTTCAGGGATGAAAATGGTCACATCCTTGATAGGGTCCTGGTTCAAGAGAGGAGTAAAGGAGGCCATATTTGTGAAAAGAAACCGTCCATCATTAAACAGGGGCGGAGGCCTCCGGGTTCATCTGTCCCCCTCTTACAATGCTGTTATTCCTAGAATCACTCAGCCCTCTGTGAATAGTAAACAGCCATAAGGGCACTACTAATCAGTCATTAGGCAGATGGTCCTCCTTTTGCATGAGAACAGCTAGTTCTGGATGTCGTCAGCAGACTTGTGGATCAACTATGAAAAGGTGAGAAGACGTTGGTTACGTACTGTAACCCCAGATTCTATGAATATAGGCGTAGCCCTTTAAGGCTGTCGCTGATGGTTTATCCCGTTATGCAGAGCATAAGCACTGAAAAAAAAAATTAGTCCACGCCCACCTGCTGTGTGGGTCCACCCGGTCCGTATAAATTACGTTAAGAGCGGGAAATCGGCTCCCAAAATAGCTTTTTCTTCAGCCATTTAGGAGCCAGTGAGGCCCGACGCTTAAAGGGCTACGCCTATATTCATAGAATCTGGGGTTACAGTACGTAACCAACGTTCTATTTCATATAGGCTTCGCCCTTTAAGGCTGTCGCTGATGGTTTAAGGGCGAAGCGGATGTGGTCTTCGCCTCACTGGGTCCATTCGAACACAGTAAGAAGCGGAAGCTTGCCCAAAAAACGTCTTGTCACTCAGCTCCCCGTGTGCATAAACTACGCATCGCGTAATTATGTGCCATGCACAGACGCATGTTGTGTAACTATGCGTTCTGACAAAGCATGAATACCCCGGAAAAACTTTCAACGGAAGAAGAAGTTGAAAAGAGGGGGGGAGGGGGGCATGAACCAACTGGTTCATGGCTGAACAGTATAAACAGATTAATGTCCATGAATTGATAAATAATCAAATGAACTGATTGGTAACAATAATCATGAACTGATTAGTGACAATAGAACCAGAAACACAGACACAACTGTGACTGATAACAACATCTCACACTGTAATGCATGCAGACAGAAGTGAGCTTAAACAGAGTTCCATGAGAACAATAATATTCATTCTGTTAGAGCACTAAGGACAGAATGTGTCATGGAACGAGCCGTTACATCACGTAGGTAAAAGCGAATAAATGAGCAGGGTGTTGACCATGCAGCCGCAGTGCAAATGTCCTGCATTGACATACCATTATGCAGAGCAGTCGAAGATGCGATACCCCTGGTCGAATGTGCTTAGAGGTTGACAGGAGGCCCTAAATCTGATGCTCTGTAGGCTTCAGAAAAGGCCTCACACAGCCAGAGTGACAAGCGCTGGATGGATAACGGCGACCTGCAGAAGCATCTCTATAATGCACAAACAATTGTTGAGTTTGAAACGCATTGCAGCTGTGCGCGTTACGTAACACGTCAACGCCTGCACCGGGCAGAGAAGATGAACAGATGCTTCCTCTTCTGATCTGTGGGGGGAAAAAGACCCCTCCAACGATATCACTCTTGATTTAAAAGAGCTCGTGATGTTTTAGGCATAAAAGCTGGGTTGGTCTTAAATCAGCTGAGCTGCCCGTCAGCCTAATTCTAAGGCATGACGAAGCAACAGAGAGGGCAGATAATTACTTATCCTCTTAGCGGGTGTTAAAACCAGCAACAGGGCTGTTAAAAGAGACAAGAATTTAAATGAAACCTGATCCAGAGGCTCAATTGAAGCTTTGATCAGGGCTCGCAGGACCAGCGTTAAACCCACTGTGGAACAAGTGGGCGTGAAAACAGGCCTACATCTCTGTACACCTTTTAGAAACCGCTTCATCAGCGGGTGATAAAAGCTGTTCTGTCTCCAAACCCTTTGTGGCAGGAAGAGATGGCTGCAATCGTACGTTAAAGCGTACTGAAAGCCAACTCCCTATCCATCAGCTGTTGTAGAAAAACAACACGCCGCCTAAAGGCATGAAGTGGTCTCTAAAACTTCTCTGTGCACCAGCGCTGAAAAGCCGTCCCCTTGATGTGTACAGAACTGTGGTAGATGCAGCACGTGAATCTTGAATTGTGCACACTATCTCCTGAGGGAGACCCATCCTCTAAGTGGGACCGCTCAGCGGTCAGACCCACCGGTGTTGACCTATTTCTGGGTAACTCTTGGTCGCTCCTCCTGCCTGAAGGAGAGCATCCTTCCTCCATGACAGTTCCACGGCGACCCAACAACAGACGTTGCAGGCCTGGGAACCATGGTGCGTTCACACGCCGGGAGCCACCAGGAGAGCTGTCAATCCCTCCTCTTGAACTCGGTTCATGGACCGTAAAAAACAGAGGAGGTGGGGGAAAAGAAACGCGTAAAAAGCGTTTTGGGCCACCGACTGTGAGCAAATGCGTCCCCCCCCAGCGATGGATCGTCTCGCGGGCTCAGGGAAAACCGTAGTTGACATTGAGCGTTCTTCTCGCATCGCAAACAGGTCCACAGCTGCTTTGCCAACTTCTGCTGCGTCTGGAAACATCAGATCCGGATGGAGGATCCGGTCCACGTAACGTGGGCCGCCCTTGGACGTCACATCAGAACACCGGATATGTAAACCGCTCTAATAAAAGCAGGTTTTGATGAACCCAACTCAGTAGCTTTCGCACAATGTGTAACATCTGGCTGAACGCATACCCTGATGGTTATGTACGCAGCAGTCATCATGATGTCTGTGTGAATCAACACGTGTTGATTCTGTAGCACAGGAGCAAGGTGTTGAATCACATTCAGTACTGTGCGACACTCCAAAACATTGATGTGGGCTGATGTGTAGTGGGGCCACAGCGCCCCTACTGCTTGAGATAGGTATGTCCCCCCCCCAGCCTGACAGCAACGTGTCTGTGAAGACTGACCCATGACGTGGGTCTGCTGAGGGGGACTCCCTCTGATAGAAAAACAAGGTGTTTCCCCAGA